TATGACTACGGGCCAATCACTTTAATCATATTTTTAGCTAATTTAAAAAAGTTAAATTAAATCAAGTTAGGGAACTTCCTTTTCTTCTTAAACGGAATCGCTATATCTATAAATTATTTTATACTTTTTAACCGACTTCCAAAAAAGGAGGAGGTTATCAGTTCGTCGGAATATATTTTTTATTTTTTTTTTATTTTTTATTTTTTATGTATGTTACCGCATAACTTTGGACCACGTCAACCGATTACGATAATTCTTTTTGCATCGGAAAGGTAGTGTCTCAGAGGTGGTCCCATACTAATCTGGTTAAGATCCGATCAGCGGATCATGATATATATATATATATATATATTTTTTATATGAGAGTTGAAGTCGGTTTTTTTTTGCTAAAAATTACTTGTTAATAAAACAATGTGCGAACCACGTAAGTAAAAAAATTACCAAGCACTGATAATGATTTTTGAAATATTGTTAAATTGGTATAAATGTGGGAAAGTAAATACTTCGATTTATTGTTTTAATATTATCAAAGTGGCAAGGCCGTTGAGAATATTCACAATTTATGAAACTTCAAAAAATTGTATCATCCGTCAAAAGTTGTTTATTGAAACTACCTTCGTTTTTGTATCATGATAGGTACGACAGTAAATTGATTCTGGGCAGAAGGTCTCTCTTTAGATCTAGGAGATATTTCTTCAAAGATTAGTTTTTTGTGAATATAAGGCCTAATATGCGAAGTTCTTCGACGATTTCGATAGTAACATGCTTGGTTCAGTTTTATTGAGTGGTTGTGAGAATAACAGTATATAAAAAATAGATTTTGATGACGCGTTATATTGACCTCCACAAAAAAAAAATAATAATATGCTGGATTTCGAATTCATAACGAAGGGAAAATACATTTGATAACGAAGGTTCCGTTTTGCTGGAGAATTATCCAATATTAATTGGGAATTATTAAACAAAAAAAATAAACTATAAGTTGCAAACAATCTGCCTTATCCTGAGTTTTGCCCATAAAAAATTCACCCGAAAATTTTTCATCCGCCCATAGTAAATACATGGAAACGAAATGTTAAAAGTGATCCGGATGTCGTTGCTAATTAGTTGAGCGGATACATACATACATAGGTATGTATTCACGTATATAAACATACGTACATATATATGTATATATACGTTCCTCAGAAAGCCGCATGAAAAAATCCGCATAAAAAGCTTACATACAAAAACCGGGGATGCGTTCCAGCATTTTCAAAAACTGCATAAATTCAGATACTCCATATAAAATTACAAAAAAACCGCATAAAAAATCAGTGAGGCAACATTAACCAAAAAAAAAAAATATTTCTTCACTTCAACACTTATTAATCCATGTAAAACTGAACTTAAATAAAATTTTGTCTGTATTTTACTCGAACGCAAAAAAAAATACCGCAATAAATACATGAACTATGTAAGAATACAAAGACAAATTATTTATCAGAACATTGTCTCTTACACTGTAAAACGTAATAAAAACTCAAAAAATCAAAACCGCTACAGCGAAAAAATGGTTTGAAACACCGCATAAATTCAAATCCGCATAAAAACCACATAAGAAGAGACCTAAATGTATCTAACTTATTTATAGACCGATTTGGCTGCTGTCATATGTTTATTGGTTATGTAAGCAGAAACATTTTTTCCCAAAAATGACCTCGTTAGGTGGCGTCTGGGTCGAGATATTTTAAAAACCCGTATTTATGCTCTGGTTTGTTTCAAATTTCGCACGTTTAGTTGAAACGTAGTAAGACATAGGACTTACAAAGAATGGAACATAAACAATCGTGGTACAAAGCTCAATAAAAATATTCAAAATAAAAAATGTTAATAAGCCACAATAACATTGATAAATACATAGTTTAGGAAGAGCATGCCTTAAAAACTATACAATAAAGCAAATAAGCAAATGGATATGTATATAGAATTGACAACAACAACCACGCTGTCGAGTTTAAATAGCGGCAAATCAGCTGTACTTGATAGCAGGTGGTTGAATAAGGAAAATGAATTAGCAACAAGAGTTTACGGGGTGTACATAGCATAAACAATCGTGGTACAAAGCTCAATAAAAATATTAAAAATTTAATGTTATTGTTTTCAAACGCGTAACCCGAATCAATTAATTTTAACTTACGCGTATGGTCAAACGATTAAACGCTAAATAAAGATTTCAAACTTTCGAATACAAATTTATTAACAAATCCGGTTTGAAATATGAACTTATTTGCAAATGATACTGGGGTCAGCGTAGCCGGAATCGGACTGATAAGAGTTAGTTTTTCTAAGCGCGGCCGAAGACTTACAACGCAGAAAGGTATTTTGCGCGAAAATGCATTCCACATATAACCGAACGTTTCCCCCTTTTGTTTTTTAAAGAGAAGAAGACTAGTACTCAATAAGTTGATAATTGTAGTCATGATAAAAACATAGCAAGGTAGAACCGTTCTCTCAATTTGTCGGCCATGATTTTTTTTT